GTAGGTCAATTAGATCACCTTCATCTCATATTCTTATGAAGCTTGCCCGCTGAGCAAATCGAGGCAACTTCCCCGCGATTAGTTGCCGGCGATCGTCATGCATTAGGATATCATCATCATCAGATCGACCGGTGGTTAGCTAAAAAACGTTGAGCAACAAAAGCCTCACCGCACCGCAGCCCATCCATCAGTCATTCAGTCTCCATTTTTCCTACCTACCAGCTGGAAATCCTGAGCATTTCATAGAGTAGTCAACTCCACACGCCTTTCCTTAGTTCATCTACTGAATCATTTATCTCACTTCTTTAACGCTTTCTGCGCGAAACGCTAGCTTAGGTAGCTTGCTTGCGTAGAACAGAGTCGACGAGTCAACTCCATGGGCTATATAAATCGCTTCCAGTAGTGTTTTCTCTCATCCACTGGAGCCAAAAGCCAGCTTTGATCGGTGAATTAGTTGTCGTCTGATAGCTCAATTAGTTAGCTGATTAACGTGGTGCAGAAGAAGCTGTTGAGCTTGCCGGCGATGGTGGCTTCAATGTCTCACCGTTTCGTGGCGGCGGCGTGTGTCGCAACGACCGTGGCGTTCGCTCTCTTGGCCACGACCAGCAGCGCACAGCTGGACCCGCACTTCTACGACAGGGAGTGCCCGGCGGCGCTCCCCGCCATCAAGAGGCTCGTGGAGGAGGCTGTGGCGGCGGAGCCCCGCATGGGCGCGTCGCTGCTGCGGCTGCACTTCCACGACTGCATGCATGCATGCATGCATTACTAGCAAGTTAATCACGTCCCACCACGCTGATGCATGCGTGCATTTCAACATCTCTCCGACATGATCTTTATCTTTGTGCTTGGTTCAATTCAGGGGTGCGACGGGTCCATCCTGCTGGATGACACGCCCTTCTTCACCGGCGAGAAGATGGCCCCGCGCCGAACGCCAACTCCGTCCGCGGCTATGACGTGATCGACCGCAGCAAGGGCGCCGTCAACGCCGCCTGCAGGGGCAACGTGGTCTCCTGCGCCGACATCGTCGCCGTCGCGGCACGTGACTCCGTCGTCGCGGTTCGTTCATTCGCCTCCATCGTCTTGTTGCACGCACGCACGAAAACCTTCACCACCCGTCCATGCAGCACGCACTGCAGCTAATTAACTAGTTAGTCGCGCATGCATGCACGAATGCATCGTGGTCGTCTTTCCCATCATGCATGCAGCTGGGAGGCCCGTCGTACAACGTGCCGCTGGGCCGCCGGGACGCGCGGACGGCGAGCCAGGCGGCGGCGAACAACAGCATCCCGGCACCGACCTTCAGCCTGGACCGCCTCGCCTCCACCTTCGCGTCGCACGGCCTCTCCCTCCAGGACCTCGTCGTGCTCTCGGGAGGCCACACGCTGGGCTTCTCCCGCTGCACCAACTTCCGGGACCGCCTCTACAACGAGACCGCCACCCTGGACGGTTCCCTCGCCGCCTCGCTCCGGGCCGTGTGCCCGCGGGCCACCGGCAGCGGCGACGACAGCCTCGCCCCGCTCGACCCCACGCCCGCGCACTTCGACGGCGCCTACTTCGCCTCCCTGCTGCGGAGCAGGGGAGTCCTCCACTCGGACCAGCAGCTGTTCGCCGGCGGCCTCGGCGTCACGGACGCTCTCGTGAGGTTCTATGCCGCCAACGCCGACGCGTTCAGGAGGGACTTCGCGGAGGCCATGGTGAGGATGGCCAGCCTGAGCCCGCTCACCGGCAGCAGCGGCGAGATCCGTTACAACTGCAGGAAGGTGAACTACTCTTGAGTGGATTTGGTTCGCGCGCGCACAGCTCACAGCTGACGGGTCAGAACTGTTCATGTGGTCGTGTCAAACATGCAGAGTGTGTTATTTGAGTTAAGTTTTCTACATTTATGTTGTTCTGCCACCGGCAAAAGGGAGCTTTAGGGCTGGTTCTTATTTTGCTGTAGTCTTTCGTTTATTTGATTCGCAGTTTGTGAGGTAAGGTATACGATGCCTTACTGTTTCATCTGATGTTTCAGTTGTGCTACGCATTTCAAATTACTACTGTACTTCGATAGAGAGGAAGCAAAGATGTTTTTAAGACAGATGAAGGATGATCTGCACCTTATTGGTAAAATGCTGGTGTGCTCAAATCATCTTTTGCAACAACTGCAGGGGTTTCCTGCTTGTGCGTTCAGTTGGTGGACCTACTACTAAAGGCGTCGTCTCTCTTGTTGCTATTGCCATGGCGCCTTTGGTTTTCTTGGCTATATTCTCACTTTTTCTTTTGGAATTACAGCAAAACGTTGCCATAAGTTTTATTAGAAGTAGAAAAAAATGGCCGCCTAGTCTATGGAATTCTAGATAAAAAAAAAACAGCATAAAACAACATTGGAACAAACCACAACCCAAATAACAACTCAAAATCATAAGCAAAAACAACATTTCACCATCGCAAGACTTGAAATTTTCACCAAGAGAGAGATCATCGCTCTAATAAGAGACACAATGTATAAAGATTGAGACAATGCCTCCGGCAAGGGGATTGATGCCCATAGGTGCCATTGTTGTCAAGGGCTTTCGCAAAAAGGCCCAAAAGCCATCACGAGCAACACCCCTCCCCCTTTCCCACCCCCATAAAATTACACGAGATCTAAGTTGTAACCAGTCTCCCTTGCTATATGGTTGGATATTGGCATATATAGAGATCCAACAAGGGGGAAAGCAAAGGACTGTCCGTGAAACTCGGAGGCGACTACCATAGGGAGGTAGGATGGCGGCAGAGACAACCACTAGGAACATGATTCATCCTCAAATGCATTTTCATGTCAACTAGTGAAGATTTGTCAGGGTGGGGTGGAAGGTGGGATAGGTGTGGTGGAGATCTCGATTGGAGGAATATGTGGAGAAAGAGAAACAAGGAGGACAAAGAAGGAAAACAAGAAGAGGTGAAGTTGGATGAGGAAGAAAAAGAAATTCCTTCCTAGCAGCTAGCTCTGGATCTGCCACTTGGCACAAGGACTACCTATGGTACTCCATTTGGTCACAAATACCCCTTCCACTTTAAAACTTGTATGACTTTTGGCTCAAATTTTGACCTAACAATATTTATTTAGTTACTTAGCACGTAAAATGAAATGACTACTACTAGATATAACATAAGAAAACTTGCCTAATATATTTTCTATTTACAGTAATATAGAAAGACCAGTAGTCAAACAGATGAACAAAATCAATGGTGCTATATCAAATATATAAAAATAGAGGGAGTATGCAAAATGACAAGTTTTTCTTTTGTCAAACTTTTGAAGCTCGGAAGACTACTGAAGTACTGATACGTTAAAAGTATATATATGTAGATTTGAAGAGAGAGAGAGAGAGAGAAATTATAATGGGTTGATTCATCCTGAAGCGCACTTTCATATTTTTTTTATAGATATAGTTATGGAAGTATTCGAATAAAAAATAGTGTCCTTAATATTTACAATTTGAAAACCATGTTACTAGTATTGTGACAGGGGAGAGAGTAAATAAATACTAAATGCAAGTGTTTGTTGAGTGACCGAACAGGCCTCCAGAAGTTAGGGGGGCCACAATCAACCATCAGGACCGCTATTAAGCCAAGCAAAAGAAAGCCTAACTAGTCTAGTTGTAACTCCTGCTGCCTTGGTCCTAAAATAAAAGGAATCGGGTGTTCAAAATTTATACCAAAATATAAAGTATTTTAGGACCTCATGTCCTCCCCCTTCTCTGCTTTTATTGACCAAACACCACTTTCCTTCTAGGCACGCCATACATTTTCTCTCTAATTTATGGTAGGAAATAATAACATGTAAATATTCCTTTTAAACTAGAAAAGCAATAACCACACTTCCTCCTAATTAGTGAGGGGTAGTACGGTATTTTGCCATGCTCCTTGTTTTGTTTGAAAATTACGTTCCTTATATTTTAAGATGGAGTATTAATCTATTTTCTGCTGCAGGGTGGTCGTCTCATCTTCTTTTTTGAAGAGAAGAGGAATGATTAAAACTGGGCACAATAAAACCCCAAATTATATAAATAATACTAAATAAAATAAATAATATTCTATCTAAGATCTTCCACTGTTAACTTCTCTAGGGGTTTTGATTGATAGCTTCGATGCTGTAGATGAAAAGAGCACAATCAAACATCAACGCACGTTGAATCCACCGACCAACCTGAAAATCTTGGACGTGCTATAAGATCCAACGATTTGAAACTGGATCAAATCACATCTGAATCAATAAAAATCATCGACGGTTGAATCGTTGGGTATATATAATATAACCTGCAAATTCAGCACCTTCAAAATCTTGATCCACCAAGTTGAATGTTTGATTTTCTCTCCACACTCATCGACAATAAGGTCGACAACTTGGAGTTAATATCTCCACAGAGAGTGCCCATGATGAGCACATTTTTCCTTGCATATAGTAGCCACAAACAGACCTCCTGGTGATGAAACTTACTCCCACGATGGTGAACTTGTTGTGGTCATCGCTGAAGCCATCACATGTAACAAGCTACCGATCGAACATTAGTGTTGATGTAAATGGAGAAGTGATTTTTGTCTGATCCCCACCAAAATCTGACTGATGAGGAGTGATTAAGCTGCTCCAAGGAATGCTTCTATACGACTCTAACAATCATCCTTCCAATTAATAAATTGCAACTTCTCTGTTCCCCTCACCATGATATATGTTCTTGAGTTGGAGCCAACATGTTTGGCTTTCGGTTATTTGTATTTCCAAAATGTAGGCCCGGCCTATTTTGCTTTTCGCACCCGGGCCTTAATGCCGCTTGTGTTTCCACTCGAGATGTGCGTTGGTTGCCTTCACAGTTTCACATTATGAATTTATTTTCCTCTAAAAAAATACACAAATGACCCAACAATCTTATTCGACCACAGCACGACACGATCACACAACACACTGGGCCGTTGGCCTAATGGTTTCTCAACCGCGGGTGCACGCGCGTAGCAGCAGGGTGTCCAGGCAGGCCGGACTCTCAGTTCACGCTGGAGCAACTGAGCCTGATCTGGCCCTGCGAGCCGGTGAGCACGCCGACGCTGCCCATGCGCACCATGGCCGCGGCGAAGTCATTTCTGAACTGCGCCGCGTTGGACGCGTAGCTCTGGACCAGCGCGTCGGTGGAGCCGCCGCTGAAGAGCTGCTGGTCGGAGTGCAGCACACCGCGCTGCGACAGCAGGCCGCGGAAGAAGGCGCCGTCGAACGTGTTGGGCGTCTCCAGGTCCATGGGCGCAAGGTTGCCGTTGCCGCCTGACTGCGGGCAGTTGGCCCGGAGCGCCGCCGCGTCGGACTGGTTGAGGTTGGACTCGCCGTAGAGCCGGCTCCGGAAGTTGGCGCACTGCGCCTGCCCGACCGTGTGAGCTCCTGCACGACCACGTACGTATGAGTTGTCATGCATTGGCGGATCATGTATTGTCAGTAGTGTGTGTACAAGCAATCGAGTTGCATGAACCTGAGAGCGCGACCATGTCCGTGGTGGTGAGCCCCTTCCTGGCGAAGCCGCTGATGAGGCTGGCGAGGCTGGAGCCCGGAGGAGGGAGGTCGCTGTTGGCCTGCGAGAGGCTGGCCGTGGTGGAGTCCCTCCTCCCCAACAGCACCGTGTACGGCGGCCCTCCTAACTGCAAGCAGCGAAAGGAAGCAGAATATATAAACATCATCCGGTCTCGGTCAGTGCTGCTTGTCTTGTCTGTCGACAACATCGAAATCTATGCGCATTTCCTTCATTATTTGATGGATCGATCTTACGGTTACGACGGAGTCGCGCGCGGCGACGGCGAGGGTGTCGGCGCAGGAGACGGTCCGCGGGCAGACGGCCTCGACCTGTGCCTTGATGCTGTCGATGACGTCGAAGCCCCTGAGCGAGCCCCGGTTGGGGAACGAGCTCTGCTCCCCTGTGAAGTTGGCCGTGTCAGCCAGCAGCACCGACGCATCGCATCCCTGCTGTCACGCCACGGAATGCATGCAGGAGTACGTACGTGAGCTAGCTAGAGGTGTTGGTGTTACGCCACGGTATGCATGAGCGGCGGCAGAGACGACGATCGAGGACTTGCCTGGACGAAGCAGTCGTGGAAGTGAAGCCTGAGCAGGGAGGCCCCCATCCGGGGGTCCCTGCTGACCGCTGCCGTCACGGCGCTCCTGATGGTGCCCAGCGCCCTCGGGCACGACGAGTCGTAGAACGTCGCCGACAGCTGCGCCGACGCCACAGCGGCCACGGCCAGGAGGACGATCGCCTGAACGGAAACTGAAGCAGCAGCCATGGTACTGTGACAGTATCTAACTATCTATCTTTTGACTGATCGAGGCGCAGGTCATCGACCAGTCACGACTTCACGCATATATAGCACTGGCCACTGCTACTCCAAACGCGCGTACCAGAAACTATCCCAGTGGCCCCGTCACGGTGCCGTGTCTGCTAGCTGGTCTGAATGCAGCCATATATGCGCGCAGGAGTGCCGGGCTGCCGGCGACGCATCTCTGTTACATAGGCCTTCCTAAATCCTACTAATTATGGAAGGACAGAGCGATCTTCCGGAATAAATGCATCTCTGTTACTGCTACTGCTAAGCATAGATAAAGGCACTCCCATTGCAGAAATCATCATAGTTTGTATGGACATTAATTATATTACAACCTAAACGTTTTGCTGATGTGGCAAGGTAGTTATTGAAGAGAGAGTATAAATTATAGAAACCAGGTCTAAGTTAGAAACCATATCTACACGAGAACCAAGACATAAGGGATATAATTGATAGAGAATGGAGAAAAAATGTACGTGACTGGATAGAAAATTGTTCGTAGAAACTATTGGTTGAGGCCATGATTTATATATGTAGCGTCTATAGAAATTAATAGATATAGATACTACGTTTCATAGTATTGGGACTGGCGTGATGTTGATCGGTCAACGCACGTATCCAGCTGAATCGGTAGGAACCACATGCACGTCTGCCTCGCCTCTCCCTGCCTGCTTGCCTGATATGTACGTGCGAACACACACAACAAAACAAACCAATTCCTTCTACATAATGCATGCATGATAGCATGAGCCTGGCAGTGTTCTCGTACAGTTTTTATCTCAAGGATATATATATATATATATATATATATATATATATATATATATATATATATATATATACTGTAATTATTTACTATAGCTAACGATATATGTGATGATACAATACAAATCCGTCATTTTCTGTCTCTTTCTGTCCTGCAGGATGCCATGCCATGCCTGTACTACGTACTGATGATGGCTTGTATTAACAACGACGACGATCATCAATTAGCTGGACAGCTTAAAAAGAAGCAAAATTCCATATGCGGTAGGGACCTTGTACACCTGGCTGCACCCTTCGTTGCACATGCTTGCATAGTTGCATGGATCGGAGCGGGAGCCGGGAGGTATGCGTCGCCGTCGTCGGCACCATACATAACCAAAGCCCTCATACTCATACTCATACTCATACTCATACTCATACTCATACTCATACTCAGTACTCCAAACCTGTATCGATTTACTATCACTTGATTGCGTTATTGTCTCCATGATACGACTACAACAAGCAATCCAAAGAATTCCTTCTCGTGTCATCACCTTGTAACTTCAATGAGTCTCCGACACAAGATTTTATATTTCTTTCTTCGAGAGGAGCTAACTGATGGTTAAGGGCCTATTCGGTCAGTGCGGAAGGAGACCAGGAATTATTCCCGCTGATTAATGTTATGCAAATTAGACCATTGTTCGGCTAGGAATCATCCCAAGTGTCCATTCCGAGGTAACCGAACAGGCCCTAAAGTAAAATTTGTTCTCAAGGTCAGGTTGTTAAAATTGTGATCCTGAATTAGATCTGAACTCCAGTGGTAGGATCGCAAATCGTAGAAACATAAGTAATAGGATTGTAGAATCGTAGATTCTATTTATTAGAATCGTAGAATCAGTCCGATAAACCAACATCGTAAGATCATAAACAAATAAAAATCGTAAAATCACAAAATTGCAACATGGCATCGCGAGTTTAACAACTATGCTTATGGGCATGTGGCTCATATAATTTTTACTATAGTTCAAGCATACAATAATTAGTCCACCATAAAAATTTCACCATAATTGAACCATAGAAATTGCAACTATGAATTAATTATAGAAAATAATAGATCTAAAGCTACAGCAAAAATGTATACTAAAACATACCACATTATATATTCATTGTGTATACCTACTCATGTGGAGTCCAACAAATTTGGATTTTCTATTTTATGTTTTTTCTATGATTTACTATGATTTTTCAAAGATTCAGTCGAAACAAATAAAAAAGAAAAAGACAAAACTGTCTTTGAAAACCACTTATAACTGGTCAGAGAGATAAAACGAACGATTTTAAAAGTTCAAGAAAAACTCGGTTCTAGAGTTCAAGAAAAACAGACTTCCACAAAAGCTGACGGGGGTAATGCGGATTTTTTCGTTAGCAAATAGAGCATTTCGTGGGTCTTAGTCTTACAAGCCCAACTCTAGAAAGCCCATAAGATAAAGCCCCTCGCGATGTTCGGTCTTATCTGCCACTGCAATTAACGAACTTTCCACGTGGGCCACACCTCCTCGCATCGCCTCCCTCGACGATGGCCGCCGCCGCCGCCGCCGCTGCGTCGGCGTCGTGGCTTCTCCGTAGGTCTATATCCTCCGCATTCCTCGCCAGGCGCGCGGGCCCTAGCATCCTGCGTACAACCCTCTGCTATTCCTCCTCCGCATCCGCCTGCCCCAAACCAACGCCGTCACTGCCTCCGCCGGACACATCCGACAATGATGGCGGCGGCGGGATGAGGTGGGAGTCTGCGCGCAAGAAGAGGGTGGTGCTCCGCATCGGCTACGTAGGCACCGATTACCGAGGTTTTGCTCGTCTTTTTAATTTCCGCCAGGGAAATGGGTGTCATGGAGCTTTGACTGAATGCTATTGCTATGTGCTTGGCAGGGCTTCAAAAGCAGCGAGAGCTTGGCGTGGATTCGAGTAAGTTCTAAATTATTAACTTGTTTGGGCTTGCTTAAAGCTATTTAATTTTGCTTGCGTGTTCAGTGTAGTTTTTTTTGGCACTGTTGCTGCCTGGTAGAACTAGATGACTCTTTTCGTGCTAGTTGCATTGCGTTGCTGCTAGTGGTTCTGTGCATTGGGGTTCTAATGCTTGTTCACTTGTTGAATGATTCGAACTTTCACCGCGATGTTTTGTAATCCTATAGAATGATTGTGAAAGGTCACACACATGACACACAGGGTCGGCCCTGAGTTTTTAGGGGCCCAGGGCGAAACCAAAATTTAGGGGCCTCTTATATACACATGAACTAAGCACTTATGTATATACATTGTTAATGATAAACGCTTCAGAAAAAAAACAATTCATATATATTAAAATACCTTAAAATTTTATTCTGACGTTCTCGATGCGAAGTCATTAATGATGGTATATACTCTAGTTCCTCGACAACAACCAGTCAACCATCACGAATTACTCTTATAAAAAAAAACTTATGTATAGATCTCTCCGTGATTGTATTAATTCATCTACTCATGCTCACTTTTTCTTTTCTCTGTTTGATGAGATTTTGTACAAAAATTTTTTTTAAATAAAAGAAGCAGGTAAGCTTTACTTTACTATGTGTGCATGCATAATCATGTGCGCTTTGAAGAGGCAAGAAGATGGTGAAGGAAGCTAGCAAAGTGCTCTGGCTTTCATGTCTTGTTTAATAGGAGAAGATGAAGAAAGCAAGTTAGCATGGTTGCTCAGGGCCCACCAGACAGCCAGTACTATTACTGTCTCTAAATCGTTTGCATCACAAGGGCTAGTGTCTGTTTGCATCACAACTAAAAAAAAAAGAACTCACAAGGGATAAGGCGCATGGTTGCGCTTATCTGCAGTAACCAATCGAGTTCGCAAAATACTAGCTCACATGAGGATCGTCAGGTTGTGCTTATCTGCAGTAACCACGTAATATACGGTATACTTGGGATGGGGCCCCATGGGATCGGGGGCCCAGGGCGGCCGCTCCGCTCGCCCGCGCTCAGGGCCGGCCCTGATGACACGAGTGCCATTTCTATAATATGGATACTGAATCACAGATGCACTATAGACTATAGTTGCTCCTGGTTCTTTTGTTAATTATCAGAAATTCAGAATGATGCATTGACAGTATAAGATGTAGATTAATTGTTCTGAGCTCATTCTGCAGCCATTGAGTCAGTCTTGGAATCTGCCATCTTCAAGTCAGGCGGAATTCTTGAGAGTAATTATGGAAAACTGCAAAAGGTTGGGTGGGAAAGGAGTAGCCGAACTGATAAAGGGGTAGGTTTAACCATTTAAGCGCTTGGTTTTTATGAAGAATGCATTTAATTTTTTTCTAGAAAAAAAAGGCTTGTATGGAAGGGCGGGCCTGGTGCAAGCGGTAGAGTCTTACCGCCTGTGACCGGAAGGTCCCGGGTTCGAGTCGCGGTCTCCTCGCATTGCACAGGCGAGGGTAAGGATTGCCACTGACACCCTTCTCCAGACCCTGCACAGAGCGGGAGCTCTCTGCACTGGGTACGCCCTTTAACAAAGGCTTGTATGCATGCTTAGAATGGACTAATTTCAGGTACACTCATTGGCTACAATGATTTCCCTTAAAATGGAAATCCCTGATAGAGCATGGGAGGATGATCCTGATGGTATTGCTCTTGCCAGTATCATCAACTCAAATTTGCCGGACAATGTGAGGGTATTTAGTATCTTGCCTGCGCAAAGGTAAATGGGTCGTTTATTGTACAGAAATAATAGAGAATAGAGGATTCATTCCATTATACTTAATTTTTATCATGGCATGGTGTGCATTGAACTATAGGAGTTTTGATGTAAGGAGGGAGTGCTTGTACCGTGAGTACTTCTATCTTCTTCCTGCTGAAGTTATTGGAATTAAAGATGGTTATAGCCCTGAAGAAATGCAAGAGCACTTGTCAGAGTTCAACAGCATACTGAAAGGTTTCGAGGTATGTGCCTGATTCAATGTGTCTCGTTTATTCTGTGGCTGTGCAGTATTTGCAAAACAATAGATATTTCTTCCATGAAACTAATGATAACATGCAAGTGATTTGGGGAACATCCTTATATGTTGAAATCAGAAAGAGGCCGTGGCGGTGAGTTTTATTTAATGAGCATATTACATCAGAGGTCATTGGACCTATCCAGTTGACCCATGATTCCACGAGCCTTAATCTTGGATTGTGCCCTGGTATATGTACCTGAATTGCTTAGTACGGTCTGTGATTTCTTAATTAGAAGATAGAAAAAAGAATCTTGGAATGCTTATGAACATTTAAGCATGCTAAATGAGGCATGCGTCATAATTAAGCATGTTCATTTGTTGGTACTTTTCCAATTGCTTCACTGCTGGATGCTTCAGTGGGCAGTTAAACAACTTCAAGCTGCTTTTTGGACTAAATTTGAAGGTTCAAGTACTGACACAACTGAAGAAGTGGAGTCTAGTTCAGTGTACTCTTGACAGTTGCTAGACGATTACTGCTTAGGCATAACACAAATTTGTAGAAGCCTGGACAAATTAAATCCATAAGATATTTAACTTTTCAAGCACACCCTCTTTCACCCCAATATGCATATTAGGGGAAGACCTTGTCAGAATAATTTTTCTTGTTGAATTACTTTGCATGCACACAAATTTCACTATATCTTCTCAACTTGTAGGGAAACCATCCATTTCATAATTACACAGCACGTGCCAAGTATAGGAAGGTCCTCACGGGAACACACCGAAGGGTGAAAGGAGCAAGCTCGATGTTGAAGTCCATGTCCTCCGAAATGGGTATGGCAGAAAGCTCTTATGAAGAAAGCACTTCTTCAGATCATGATGAGGACTTGAATATTTCATCAATCATTGACACTGGTGCATCAGAGGACAATTGTGTGAATGATATTCTGAAACTTTCTGAGAATCGGGTGCAGATTCAAGCTAGGTGGCTGCATGAACCTGATGAAAGTGATAGATTAAATGCTTCACATTTCAGAGATATCATTACCTGTTCCTGTGGAGAGTTGCAAACTTCATCAGGAATTCAATTTGTGGAATTGACCTTATGCGGGGTATCATTCATGCTACATCAGGTATGTATAATCCATTGTGAAATTATTATTAATGTAATACTCCCTTGCAACCGATCAGGGAAAACTAGATTTCACAAGATTACTTTTAAGGTTGAATACTCTATTGCTAGACTTTGTTTTTGTTTTGGGTCTTTTATATAGCTAACCTATAGATACATACTCCCTCCATTCCAAATTATAAGACGTTTTAGCTTTTCTAGATACGTAGTTTTTGCTATGCACATAGATGTATACACTATGTCTAGATACATACTAAAAACAATGTATCTAGAAAAGACAAAACGTCTTATAATTTGGAACAGAGGGAGTACTTGATTTTTCAAATTCGCCCCTCTAAAAAACCAGCTCAGTAGATTTGTATATATGATTCTGAATTGTGTTACTTGATATTACTGTCAAGAAACTAATCCCTCTGAGAACTTGAGAAGCTCACATGCCTTTTAAAACAGTTTCTACTTTACTAACCAGTTCATTAAATAGTAATATTCACTGCCAACAATCTAGTTACATTTGAGAAGTGACATGATTGTTAGAACAGTCTGTTGGGGTTGTTCATAGGACACAATTAATTGCTGATACCCAATTACTGAAACTATCATGCAGACATGTTGTTATGACTTTGTAGTCATGCTGTTCTTTTTCTTGACCTCAGATCCGGAAAATGGTTGGAACTGCCGTGGCAGTGAAGCGTGGATTACTACCCAAAGACATCATAGAACTGTCTCTTGCAAAGTTTTCTAGAATCGTGCTACCAGTAGCCCCTTCAGAAGTTCTGATCCTTAAGGACAATAGTTTCTGCACGAAGAGCAAGGAAGGGAGAATCATTCGCCCTGGGATCCAGTCAATGAACAAGTCAGCAGCAATCAGGAAGGGCGTTGAGGAATTCTACAAGGCGGCTCTTCTGCCAGAAGTAGCGAAATTCTTGGGCCCCTCTATGCCGCCATGGAAAGAATGGCTGGAGAACTTGGACAGGTTTGCTGGCATACCAGATTCACAGCTGGACGAAGTTAGGGAGGCCTACAGAGCATGGAAGGCTGATTATGACCGCGTGAAGATGGCTAGAAAGAGTGCTAGCAGTGTCTAATTTCATCACAACGCTACTCAGCAGTCTCGCAAGGTGGATGGGCAACTGAACTGAACTGTTCGCTGAAGAGAGCGGTGTTTTTCACTTTCAACCGCTTCCTTGTATTGGACCTGTAGGGTTGGCAATGTTGCCACCTGTGTGGTGTTCTGGATGAGGGGATTTAGTTCAAACCTGAAATGATTCCTAGAGATTTGGATCTGTGTTGAGGCCCCGGGTGTTGCAAGCATTTCTGCTCTGCCGAGGGGTACAAGGTTGAGAGCCAGCCAAAGGTGTTGGCTGACCACTGCAGGACAATTCGCAGGTATGCAGATTTTTGCTTTCATTGCATTGCAGATTTGATGACTAAAGTCAAGCAAGCAAAAAAAAACCTCCTCTAATCTATACGCTCGTATGGCACCGTTGTAATTCGGCCCGTTTTGTTTTAAATGAAGAATGAATGTGCAGTCCGTCAAGCAAGCAGCGTGCGTGCGTGCATTGTTGTTCAGTTGATGCTACTAGGAGTATTCTGTATTCACATGGAGCCATTTGGATTGCAAGGCACATGCACGGATGCATATGCACCCCCCGTGTTGGTTTCACGTGGACGATGATGCTCGCTGTCACTGATGCTGCTACCTACTGTAGCTAGCTTGTTTCAACTGAACGTCTCGTCAGTCAGCATGCATGCGGGGGCACTGACTAGTGCAGAGCCACGGCACGGCATTGTCCTCCCTAATTGTCGCCTCACGAGCAGCAGCTGCCTGTGCGTGCGGCCAAGCCCCGCCCGTCTGGCGTCTGGAGGCCGCACTGCACGTCTGCACGTCGGACGGCAGACTTGACGCCAGAGTGAGATCGAGGACGAAGACGAGCTGAGGACGGATCCCGACGACGACGACGGACGTGAAGCAAGCCTCGCGCCGCGGGCAAATCCCTCTCGTGAGGCGCATGGCATGGCAGGGGGTGCAGCGGCGACCTGCCGGGGGGCCCGTCCCCCCTGTAGCCCTAGCTGTGCAGCATGCTGCGCCGTGCATGCTCCCGGCCTCCCGGGTTCGTCCGTTGGCTCGACAGTGCCAGGTGAAAAACAAGGCACCCGCGCTCCCGTGCGGGGAGGCGACAAGCGCTGGCCCTGCCACGGTCGTACGACACGCCTGGCCGGACGCGCGGGGCTGGGGGCATGTCACCGTGAAGGCGTGAATGAACTAGTAGCTAGCTAGGCCGCGAGCGCGCGCGGAGCATGCAAACGATGCATGGGTGATGGCACGACGTACGCCCTGCCTGCCGCCTCCGCGCGCCGCGACGTCTGCCGCGCCCGGGGATCCATCGATCCGTCTGCCCGTGGCTTCGTCAGCTTGCTGTGTCGTCCCTAGCTGGCTTGTTCTGTGCGAGAGCGAGCTGATGCTGATGGCATCCGTACGTATCGCCCTCGCCCTCGTCCTCGTCCCCGGGCGGGCGCATGCAGCACGGGTCACAGGCGACGCGGAGCCGTCTGTCACGAGAGCGTTGTAGCGATCGATGCGGCTGCCACCTTGCCGCGCCCCAGACCCAGGATCAGGATCAGATCATTCAGGGTGGTTGATGGATGGATGCCTGCTCTGCTCTGCTCATATCTCGCTCCGCCGGACCCGGACCCGGGTAGTAGCCTGCCCAGCCGTGTGTGTTCCCTAAAGAAAATGGCGCCGCAGCTTTTAAAATAACTGCCTCCCTTGCTTTGGGCATCATATCGTCGATCTCACGGTCACGGCGAGAGCGACGCTCCATCTCTATCTCGGCGCGCGGTGTTTGTTTGTTGGGAGGGAGAGACCCGAATGAACCAAGCATCGTCGTCCCATTGGCTGCCTTCCTGTGTTTTTGGAACCCGTGACTTCTGCCGTTTTTAAATAAACATGGTCACGGTCTGCACCCTGTACGTACGTGTTTTGTCTGGGCAGATCAATCAACCTGTAATCAAAATATCTGATACTCCTACGGGGACGTGTATAGTAGTATATCTTATCGATCGATGCTCTTCTTCAGCCACTGTATATGTTTCAGGGACTAGCAGCTAGATAGGTCGATCGAGCTGCCGACTTACCAGGAGCAATTAACCACCGCTAGCTGCTTTTGTTCATGTTCAGTCTTTTCCAGAAGTTCATATTTCATTTTGATTTCATCTCATGATGGATTGATCTGTTAGCGGATCGGAGTATATATATATAAATAAAAGAAACCTTCATCAATATATGAAGGGTAGTTGCATGCCAGCTCTATTCAGCTTTGCTTCCAACCTCCCACATCATCATCATCATTCTTACATCATGGATGCATGATCGATCTTATTGTCATCATAGACATATATTATATATGTAAATTACGGCGTTCCCCCCCCTAATACTATTACACAGGAAATGGTGCTGCTACGAACGAATTCACCGGATCATCAGCACGACAGCACTTGCTAGGGAGGAGCAGCTATTTCATCTTGCCACCGATAGATATATAGATAGAGGAAATAGAAGCATAAATAAAAAATCAAATTAAAGAGAGGCATCTGAGAAACAGAGCTACTAGCATACAATGGGTCTCGGCTTGATGTGTATCCTTGAGACCACTACATACGGTCCAGGACATGAGGACGACCAATGCAAGCAAGTAGAGGCTTGTGTGTGCTTACGCGCTCATCAGCCTGCCTGCTACTCCTCGTCCTGCTCGCTGCCGCTCTCGGAGCAGTTCCTGACGGCCTGCAGGACGGCCTGCTTCACGACGTGCTCGTCCACGTTGTCCGCCACGTTCTGCGTGCACACAGGGCCAGACCACCACAGTGAGTGAGAGAGAGAGAGAGAATTAATTAGCAAGTAGCGTGTCAAGAATCCTCATCAAACCGACACGACACGACGATAATTAACCATATCATCAGCAACTGACGACGACAACGATGGACGACGATTATATTGTGCTTAATTACGTACCTCTCCGCCCACAGCCTCGAGGCGGAAGGAGTCGGCGCAGGAGGCGGTGGCCTGGAGGACGCTGAGCCCGAGCTCGTCGAAGGCTTCCAGGACGGAGACGAGCAGCCCCGGGCAGCTCTTGTCGGAGAACACGTTGACGAGGAACGACCCCTGCACTCCTAGGGTTTCCACGGTCACCTGCATTGCATTGCATCCGATCCGGCGGTCCACCCGGCCGGCCCGTTTCGGTCATCATTGATCAATCAACGCTAGCTAGCTGCTGATCAACTGACTGAATAATGCAGACGACATGCATGGAATGAAGCAGACGCCCTAGTTCGTCGGCGCATGTGAACTACTACTCCTATGCTGGTCCTACTCGTGGCTGAACCCAAACTTCACCGATTGGTTAGCATGTGAACTGCTGCCTGCTGGGGCACGCAGTAGCTACTAGCTACTACTGCTGCTTTTACTCTGGTTATATATATACGTAGTATTACTGTATATGTGCATGATGATTTCTTTCCATGTATATCTATATCGTACCTCTACATGACAAAAGATCGACATATATGCGATGTGATGTGATGAGATTATACCATCGGATAGGACGACGACTGGTGTGTCAGCGCGTCTTGCGCGCAGGCAATCTCCTGGTTCAGCCTCACCACCTTCTGCTTAAGCTCCTTGATGTACGCCGACGCGTCCATGATTATTGATGTGTTGCTCAACTGCGTATATATTATGCCCATGTCAAGTACGTAATTAATAAACACGAATCATATTTGATATTTGGATGGATTCAAAGAGCAGGAGAGAGGGTATCTAATGCAACAACTAACGACAAGGTTGCAGAAGTGATAATGGATGCATATCATTCAAACGTTCTTGAATTCTAAAGAGCAATGAAAAGAATTTGGGAAAATGTCAGGAAGGAAGAAGAAGAAGAAGCAAAGATTGAGCAAGGAAACTATGTTATACAGCGTGGGAATGAGTGATGGAGCGGAGGATCTTCAGTTTCTCCTGAAGAGCAGCCGCCTGCTTCTTGCGCTCCCTTGACATCATCTTTCTCTCCGAGTCTCTCACTCGATCTACAAAGTCACACGATAGACGGCCGCCTGACAGCTTGCCCAATGGAGGCAAGAGAGAGAGACAGAGAAGTATAAGGTGTGGAGCTTGAATGGAGGACCAAGAATGAAGGACTCGATCTCCATATCTATATAGTCGTGGTCTCCCGGTCCCCGTGGGCAGTGGGCACTCACGTGACCTTATTTGGCGACAGAATATCGTCGCCAGTCTTCTTCGAGAGGTATCTCACGAAGATAGATTGATCGGTAGAGGTGCGCGTAATCAAGAACATGAAGACAACAGAAACACAAGAGTTAGACAGGTTCGGATTGTCAGCACGACATAATACCCTACATATGGTCTGTTGGTTTATATTGGCTATCATATGATATTGCGTGTGTTTTGAGGGGGTCCCCTACCCGCCTTATATATCTGGGGATAGGGTTACAAGTCGGTTAGATTTAGGAGATAACCGGTAAGTAATAACAGATTAAAAGGATCACGGGATCGCAACATATCCTAACAGATTATGCCGTATCTTCAGGATATCTTCCCGGTGTCTTGCGGGGTGCGCCGAGCAGCACCGTGCTCCGCAAGGCCTTTTCTTGTGGGCTGGACCACCCCTGGGGGTGCAACCCATATAGTCTGTCGTGGATATCCTGGGTCGTACCCCCCACAGTTAGTCTCCGAGCGCCTTGTATCCGCTGTGCAACACCGTCTTAAGCTTGTCCGAGCAGGTGTAAACAAAGCCGAGTAGTCAGACTCATAGTCTGACCATCCTAATGAGTCGCCGAGCAGCTGTGGACCATCGCCGAGCAGAGTATCCCAAGTAAGGCTTGCCAGAAGGATGTAAGCAGCTCAAGTTCAAAATCAAAAAATTTCTTGTTGTGAACCAAGTGTGCCCACTTAGAGTCCGACCACGAGAAAGGGAGATAATCTTCTTCAACTTCGGGAGACACGGAGTCTTCCAAATTAAAGAAAACACACTCACCACAAGGTGAAGTGTACCCACTTAGTCCCCGAGCCTGGCAGTAGGTGACGTGGTCACGTGGTGCCAGGGTTCAGAAAGTAGAAGAAAAGGCAGAGAATCAGCTGAGCAGGCAACCAGTCCACGGGCTAAGCCCTGAAATGAAAAGCGCACATTCACCGCAAGGTGAAGTGTGCCAACTTTATTCCCCAAGCCTAATAGTAGGTGACGTGGTCACATGGTGCCAGGGTCAGAAACAATAGTAACCAGAAGAAGTCCCCAGTGTGGTGAGAAACCGAGTCATAATGATGACATAGTCCTCGAGCCACAAGTGGAAATCAAGAAGTACTACTTACTCAAATCGTGGAGAAAAAACCGGAGTAATGGTTGTACAGTAGAAATTACTGAGCCTTGATGGTATTGTGGAGAAGTCGGTGAATATTCGGTGTACAGTATCAAGTTGCGTCAAAGAATGGGCAATATGGGCGCAGTTGCGCGGAAGCCCAGATAACGGCCCACCACGCCGCTTTGGGGAATTTGGAAGGGCGCAAATCAATATGGTGCGGTTTTTCAAAAACCCTTGAATACGAAAAGTGGGTACGATTTCTTTATAACTGCGTCGCCGCACTCCGCGCTCCCACCTTTGCCACTTCGCCACTTCGTCTTCCTCAGCCTCGCGCTCCTCCATTCACATTCACACGCGCTCCACCGCTAGGGCTAAAAAGCTTGCAAAAAAGGCCGGTTTGATCCAGATCTGAGGGATGGCTCCGAAGAGGGGAGGTGGTAACCCGAAGAAGGTGGCCGCCGGGGCGAGCCGTGACAATGAATGGGTGCCGTCACTCATGGGGGAGACGGAGCTCAACGAGATGGTGGAGGCGGGCGTTCTTCGTGACCGTATCACCGCCGGATGGCGTCCGGCCGACGGTGATCCCTATTCGATGCCACACACACCGACGAGCTTGTTGTGTTTGAAGATTATTTCTGGCGTGGATTAGGACTTCCGGTACATCCTTTCTTGTGGGATCTATTGGAGTATTGGGGAGTGAGCTTGTGTAATCTTCACCCAAACACTATTTTGCACATTTCGTGTTTATCCACTTCTGCGAGGCCTATCTTGGCATTCTTTCCCCACTTTAATCTCTTCCGACACTTGTTCTGGCTCAAGAAGAAAGGAGGGGGTGGTTCCAAAGTGGTCGGCGGTGTGTATCTATAGCTCCGCGATGGAATGGCGGGCGAATACATTACTGTGCGTCTGAATACCTCGATGAAGGGATGGAATGCTAGGTGGTTCTACATGAAGCAAAATCATCCTGCCATCCGATATGATGTTGACCAGATTCCGAAGAACCAGAGGAGCTGGTCGGAGAAACTGACCAGTGCCAATATGGAGCAGGTGAAGGAGCTCCTTGAGCTAATAAGGGGCATGAAGATGAACGGAGTGGTGGTGGCGGTGAGATTCATAGTGCGCCGTGTTCAGCCCTGCAAGGAGAGGGCTCATCTGGGCTTTGACTTCAAGGGAGATACTGACGGCACCCGAGAGAGGATGGAGAGACTGACGAAGGAAGTTGTGCTACACCGGGCCGCTGAACTATTCTATCCAAACATGCCATTCAGTGTGCTAGGGTAGCCGAAAGCCTTCAACTGCACGAACCCACCTCCTTAGGTAAAAATCTCGACTGTTGTTCCTGGTGCTTTTTATCTCGTGCCGGCGCCGAGCAGTGGACTGATTTGCTTGTGGAAAGATCCATTTGCTGGAACGGGCGGTGTACTTCTCGGGCGTGCCGAGGAGTGATTAGCCAAAGACAGTGGACGCTAGGCCGACCACTCAACCGGAGGAAAGTGCCGTCAGCGCCTCGTCCGAATTTCGAGAGGCAGAGGTGCTGGTCAGAAGGAAAGTCTCCCGATGTTAGAGAAGGTTCGGGGGAAAAGGGCGGCGAATGATGAGCTGGCCCAAAAGAAGAGAAAAACAACGGATGTAGCTCCCCGCAAGCCGGGCGGCATCTCACTTGGTGGCGATCGGACCGCTCAGATGCAGAGCGAGGCGATATCCGAGTGGTCAGACGACGACGAGGCTCTAGTAGCTCCCCCTCCAAGCACTAAAGCGTCATCGCGCAACATACGCATGGAGGTGCAATCAAAGGGAGGGGAAGGAGTCACCGAGCAGCAGGCGAAGAAGACACCGATAGCGGGGGCCGCAAGACCTCTAGCCCAGGCCACACGGGTTGACCCTAGAGCAGTGCCTGGGTGCTTAGGGAGGCAGCGCCAGTTCAGAACCATCTACCGGGAAGCTGATGTGTAAGTTTCTTTGCCTTGGGATTGGTAGCTTTTTGATTTTTATAGTTGCGGTGACCGATGAGCTAAACTAATGCAGAACGTGGCGCATGGAGGACCTAAATCCTTCAGGCTAGACTAGTGAGAAGCCAGGGGCTGGTCCCAGGGAGGAGACATTGCGGATGGACTCCATCCTAGAGTCCCCGAGCGCTCGTCGGTCTATGGAGGAGTCGACCACCGCTGTCGATGGAGTTGGCAGCAGAGAGCGGTTGGCGATGATGGCGGGCGATTCAGTGGAGACACCAGGAGCAACGACGGGAGCCATCGAGTCTTTGGAGGTGAGAGCAGGAGCTGCCGACATCATGCCAGAATCGGTGGCGCAGAGGCCGGCAGCGTCGGTGGAGCAAGCGGGGTGCCCTGAGATGCCGTAGGGCATGGTCGGTCATTGTGTGTGGCCACCAAGCCCCCAGGCAGCGCCACCGGCTGTGGAGGAAGAGGTCGAGGTGGAGGAGATTGAATGTGAAGAATCACGACCTCAAGCCATCCGCATCCTCCACAAGCGAGATGATGAAGTTGTGGTCGTGGAAGAGGACACCACCAAGGAGGTGAAGAGGCTACGGTCCACCCTTTCCATGGCTATGAAGCAAATTGAGGTTAGTGCTGCATCAACAGTGTCCGTCTTCGGCGTTGAAGACTATGTTCCTTTACAATCTTGGTGCTTTGCAGAACATTGCGCGAACTGTTGTACAATGACAGCAGTTGATCAAGAGGATGGAACCCCTCGCCAAGGAGAACGTGAAGCTGAAGGAGGCGGTGAAACTGATGGAGAAAAATGTCCAGAGGGCCCTGCGCGAAAGGGACCTTGCTGAATCAAATGTGAGGGACCTGGAGTACCAAA